AATATCCACACCGGTGCGGTGACTGACTGCCACACATACTCTTCAGAACATTAGATTCATCCGCGGTGGAGCCGTGCCGACTCACAACCCACGCAAGCTAGATAATTCCACACACAGCTGCAATTCCAGGTTTTCAAACAGAGATGGCGACAAAGAGGCAAAACTTACAGACTGCAGCTTTAAGTGTTAAAATTAACATTTACAGTGGGTCATAAACATTTATGTGGCAAAAACCACCATGATTAACTAAATTATTCATGATGCAGGAATATTTGTGATGAATATTTGTTATGACTGTGATATGAAGCATTTAAGGGATTTTTTAAATGATTTAAACGACTGAGGTGTGTGTGTTGTATCATCTGACCTCCTAACCTGCAGCTGACGTGCTTTAACTCTAAAACTCTTAATATGATCAGGCTTGAGTCAGCTCACATACACATACAGCCACAATACCAGCAGCCCATTGCTTGTGCATCAGAGCACATATCAACTTGGTGCACTTTACAGTCTTTTTTTCCCTAAAAGCAATGTTGAAAGAAAAACTCTCATTTTAGCATAACAGCATTTATCATTAACCATGTAGACCTACATGTATAAACATGCAGTGTGTACAGTGTATATAGTTTATGATTTAAAGTGGATAGAGACTGTCTGTCTGTCGATCGGTCGGTCGGTCGGTCGGACGGACGGACGGACGGACGGACGGACGGACAGACAGACAGACAGACAGACAGATAGATAGACTGGATGGATGCATAGATAGATGGCTGGATGGATAGACGGATGGACGGACTTACCTGAGATGTGGGTTATCCAGGCTCTTGGTGGCATCTTGACTGGATGTCTGCGCTTGAAGCGCCAGTGTCCCTCCCAGGTCGACACATGGGACATGCCTTCATTGAGGTCCTTAAAGGGAGGAAGAGGATATTGCTGATGAAGAATCACGTCCTCGTGTTCTCCTCCATATAAACCAGAGGCAGCTGGAATGTTACTCAAGTCACAGAACAGAAGAAATGAGCTGCATTTCCCCAGAACGTCTCGCAGCTCCACCTGACAAAGTGCTACGAAACACAGGTAAGAGCGGCTCAAGTAACGGCCTCGTGTTACTGCTCAACTTCAGAACGACCCGGCTCCGGTGCTGTCAGAGGTTTCTGGTTACTCTCAATTCACAAAGAGGTGGGAAGGTCACTCCTGAATTCTCGCTCTGATTGGGTTTGTTACACATTTGTATTGTTCTCCATCAATCTCTGTCACAATAAAGTGGCGTGGGATTTGCACCACTACAGCAGTCTGGATTATTCAAGGGTCAGTGGCTGTGAAGCAGTGCTACAGTAACACCTGAGATGAGGACATGCTTAGAGGCCAGAGTTCAAATGGAACAGGGTTTCTAATAACAGGCAAGGTCAACCACAGTGTTACAGGAGAGCTTATCAGCACTGTAGATATTTGAGAAATGCTGGAGGAGGAGCTCTTCCCCACTGGACAGGGATGGAATGAAAAAGCAGCAAGGTATCTTAAGTGCTGCTTGACGTGACATGCTTTTAACATGCACAGGGTGTCAGAGATAAAAGTGCAATGACATCTGTAATTATGAAATGGCTGACTGGAATGCTTGATTCTGATTGGTCGGTCACAGCAATCGCACAAATATGTTTGTATAATGACTGTATATTTGACCATTGCCCCATGCATTTCCAGGCAGTGTTGTTATAAACAAAAACTAAAGCTATTAAAAATGACTTTTGTTAATTGAAATAAAGCAAAAAAAAGCACAAAAAAAGTAATGAAATAAAATGAAGTAAAATAAAATAATTAGATGGAAAAACTGTAAACTTAAAAAACTTGAAATTCAAGAAATGTTGGAAAAAATGTTGAAGTATACTGAACTTACTAAAACTGAGATATAAAGCAGAAAGCTGAATATAAATTTAAAAAGCAGCACACAACAAAATTACTAAAATTTACACTAAAATTAAAATATAAAAATATTTTTGAAAAACTGAAAAAAATAAAAAGCTAATTTAAAATATTAATAGTAAATAAATAATATTAAAATAACACTGTTTCCATCACTGTGGTCTTTTTTTCTCACATAATAATTTAAACTATAATTAATTAATAAGTGCAATAAGCTGAGCAGGACAATTCCATACAATGGAATTCAGTGGGAACCAAAACTGTTTGGTGACCAGTATTCTTCAAAAAAATATTTTGTGTTTAACAAAGGAAATAAGTTGTTTTTTTTCCGCTAAAAGTTATGTGATGCAACCAAGATGAGTAAATAAAAACACAAACAGGAAATTATGTCGTAGTGGACACCAAGATCAAAAAGTCTCTTAAAATATGAGATAATTTGATATTTTTATCAGATTAGTTCAGGTTGTAAAATGCCATGTGTTGCGACTCCCTAAAAACTTTCAACGCTACTGAAAAATGTATTTAACATATTTTGAAATACACTTTTTGACTATGATATGTACACTAACATGTATTCAAGGCCTAATTAAAATATGTCATTTTTACTTCGTGGTTATACCACTTGACATTTTTAGAATCATTACATTGATACTTCACTTGTATTTGTGTATACGTTTATCAGAACTATATGAATCCAACATAAATACAGTTCATGACTTTAAGAAGTTTTTTTCACCCTTTTATTTACCGTTGTTCTGCAAATTTCAATAGTATTTCACTAGGAATCCATGCGATTGTGAATTTCTTGTGAGGGTGAAAGATTTCCCCATGCAGCTTTCGCATCGGGTTCAAGTTAGTCATGCGAATTTGCTGAGTTGACCAACAGAAAGCTGCTTGGTTTGAAAGTGTTTGATCTGTACTTCATACATCGCTACACTATGGACACTAGACAATGGACTTGTTTTGCTTGGAAATGTTTGCAGAGATCTCACACCTTTAAGCTAAAAGCCAATTCTCTGCTCTGCCACAGGTGCTGCCCAGGTTTAACTCCTGTGATGAGGTAGTGAAGGCGTACATTATGAACGTCAGCTGGTCTGCCGATCATCGTGTGATAGACGGCGCCACCATGTCCCGCTTCTCCAACCTGTGGCGCTCTTACCTGGAGAACCCAACTTCCATGGTTCTAGACCTCAAATGAACGCTGCTCTGGAAATCAGTTCTCGCTGTCTGTTACTTCCTAGAGTGTCTTTAGGTTACGCATAGCAAAACAGAGTGTCGTGCCTATTGTGTGAACACTCAAGTTTTTGCTATCACATTCATCTGTGGGAATATAAAATCCTCAGATCGCGTCTTTGATAATTCACACTGCGTGATTGTCACTCGCGTGAACGAGCACCGATTTGCCTCCGATTTCGGGCATTTGTCGGCGATTTCGCAAAACCTGTCGGCGAGTGAAAAATCGGGCTAAAATCGTGCAGTGTGAACTCGGCATAACTGGAGTGGGCAATCCACCCTTTTCCGGCTGAGAATCATGGCCTCAGATTTGAAGGTGCTGACCCTCATTCCCTCCGCTTCACATGCAGACACAGCTTTCACACCGGTTTTATAGAGACCGGGTAGCACGCATGTGACAGCACACGTGTTTGAGCATGTTTAAGCTTCTGTTTACCATATGTGATCAAGGTTTATATATAAAGAAAGCCAAAATGAAAACTGTTCATCATGTAAAGTGATCATGCCTCTTCAGGAGACTTGTATTAAGAATAGATTACTTTTATAGTTTTTGAAGCATCAAAATTTTGGTGGAACAGACTTCAATGTAGATACGGAAATCTTGGTCACAGTTTATAATAGGTGGCCTAAAGTACTAGGTATGAACAGTAAATACTAACAAGACTATGGATTTACTGGGAAACTACATGTCAGTTTGAGGTATGGTTAGGTTTAGGACTAGGTGTAGGGTTAGGGTTAAAGTTAACAGTGTAACTACAACTCAAGTACTTTAAATGTAATAAAAATGGACCAGGTATGTATATACATAAGTACATGGTACATGGATAGTTCACCCAAAAATGAAAATTCTGTCATTTACTCACCCTCAAGTTGTTCCAAACCTGTACGAGTTTCTTCTGCTGAACACAAAAGATGATATTTTGAAGAATGTAGGTAACCAAAC